GTGTAAGGATCATATATATTATATAATTAACGTTTATTCCCCCATAAAATATCTTTACGAAGAGGAAGTTATGAAGAGACATATTAGATATAAAAAAGAAATTTGTTGATGGGGAATGGTGTTTATGTGATGACTTTAATTCAATTTTTAGTCCTAATGAAAGAAAAGGATGTCTAGGCTCTAGAAGAAGTTATGAAATGAGGGAATTCAAAGAACTCATAGAGGAATGGATCTGATAGATATGTCTTGTATATGGAACAAATTCAGTTGGTATAATGGAGATGGTAAGTCCATGAGAAAATTAGATATAATTCTCTATCTGGTCCTCTTATTAATAGATGGGGCATAATAGATCAATTGATAGGGAAGAGAGAACTTTCATATCATTGCTCAATTTGGTTAATGGTCAATAAATCTGTCTGGAGCCCTAAACCTTTCAAAGTAAAGGATTGTAAGTTTGAGAACAAAGATTTTATTAAATACATGGAAAAGAAGTGGGAAGGTATCAAAGTGGAAGGAAGGAGTAATAATGTCATTAAAGAGAAATTATAGTTGTTAAAAGGGAGTTTTAGGAAGTGGAACAAAGATGTTTTTGGGTGGCTTGATATGAAGGTAGAAGAAGGAATTGAAGAAGTCAATGAAGTGGATGAGTTGCTTGCAGTCTGTAAGGAGGACCTAGTTGAGGATTTAGTGATCAGAAAAAGTAATGCCTCTAGCCTAATATGGAAGAAGCTCTTTCTAACAGAGAGCATGCTTCAACATAAGTCTAGAATAAAGTGGACAAGAGATGTTGATTTTAATAGCACATATCTTCATAATATCTTGAAAGGGTGAAATAGAAGGAAGTTCTTAGGGTATTTGAATATTAGCAATGTGATTATTGAATTAGTAGGAGATGTGAAAGAAGAAATTATAAGACATTTCAGTGAGAAGTTATATAAACTGGAATCCAAAAGACCCCACTTGGAAGGAATTGATTTCAGAAAACTCTCCTAGGCAGATATGATCTTTTTGGAAGAACCTTTCTCTAATCACAAAATCAAGGAAGCAGTTTGTGGGTGTGAGAGATCAAAGAGCCTTGGCTCTGATGGATTCAACTTCGTTTTTCTCAACAAAAAAACGTTGGAACCTTAAGGTTGACATTCTTAGGTTTGTGAAGGATTTCCACAGCTAGGAAAAACCGTCAAAAGCAATAACTTCTTCATTCTTAACCTTCGTTCCTAAGAATTCTAACCCTTGACGTCTATATGAGTATAGACCAATATGTTTGGTGGACTGTCTATACCAAAATTTAGCAAAATTATTGGCATTTAGATTGAAAAATGTTTTGGGTTATTTAATATCTTCTTGTTAATATGCTTTTCTACCTGGAAGATAACTTTTAGATGGAGTTTTAGTTGCTAATGAGATCATGGATTTAGCCACTAGAACAAAGAAATATTGCTTGTTTTTCATAGTAGACTTTAAAAAGGCGCATAGTATGCTTAGTTGGGACTTTTTAGATACATGATGAAAAGAATGAGATTTGACCATCAAGAGAAAAACCTGGATCTCTTATTCTTCCACTATACAGTGATGAAGAAGATTTGGTTGAAAATTGAAAAATGGTTTGGGAAAAACATTACCACAACACGTTCTGCTTGGAAGAGTTTCTTCAGTTGTAGTAGGGTCCTGAAAAGGAAAACAAAAGAAGGAAAGGAGTAGTGTGGTTAACACCACTTTAGTGCATTTAGAAGCATATGAACGAAATTTTATTCAACAAGTTAGTTTGTAATATAATTGATTTGGTTTGGTATATCAAATTGGTAGGTTTGAAAAGGTTAATCATAGGAGATATTTCAAATTTCAACTGTAACTTTTTTTGAAGTTGCATTTCTTAAGTTGTTGTCGGTTTAGAATCTCTTTTTTTGAATTTTCTGACTTCTTTATATTGGGGCAAGTACTTGTACTCTATAGTCAATGAAATCTTTACTTATAAAAAAATTCATACATAATTTTGTTTTTCATATGAAGTTAATTACACCTTTTAAATAATGTGAAATGACCAAAATATCATACCATTTGAAATTAAATAAATAATAGCAAATAGTGTTATGAAAAAATAAACCTATTTTGTTTCAGTTGTAAAATGATTTTTAATTTTAAAACTATTTTTCGAAAGAGATTTATATTTTGGAATGAAGTATATATTGTTTTTTTAATTAAAAAATTAAATTTTATAAAAGAATAATAGTAATTTTTAATTGATTAAGAATTTTTGTTTGCAAATATTTACATGGTTAATATTAAGACATAGCCATGAGAATGACATTATTTTAAATATATCTGTCTCACACAAAAATTGTCTTATTCAATATTTTAGGAATATCATACACTCTATGATGCATAAGGTATATAGTACAAAATACGACATTTAAAAAATAATCAAGGTAGGAGTGTGTTAATGAAAAACAAGTGTTTCTTTATAAAATATTTAAATAGATAATTAAACTATTAGGTTTATAACAAAACATGAATTTTTTATCCAAATATCTCATTGTTTTTAAATTCTTTTTTAAAATAACTCATTTTTTAAATTATTTTTTAAAGTATCCCACTTTAGAGTCTTGACAGAATGCAGGCGTCAGATGAATTGGCGACTCTTTTTTAGAGTAAATAGGTGTCGCCAATTGGATTAGAGACGCAATATAGTATTGTCAATCCAATTGGCGACAATGTGTTAATTTTTTAATGCCGTCGCCAATTCATTTGAAGACAGAGTGCAATGTGTAATTTTTTATAACATAAATAAATAATATTAATATCTAATTAAAAATAATATTACATAAATTAATGATGACGACCGGGTTGATCATACCGGCCACCGGTTCCACATCCCATAAACACCCTCACTCGCTGCCCTCGTTGTTGATTTACTGTAGTTTGGATGTGATGAAGGGGTCATTGCCGTGCGGCCTGGACGATTGAAAGAGGACATTGGTGTGAAGGATTTGTTGGTGAAAGGTTGACATTGTAGTGGTGTTTGAAAGGCATAAAGTTGTTGTGATGTTTGTGTGTGTCAACTACGCCTGATAAAATGATAAGATTATGTATCTCCATCAAAGGCTTCTCTCTCTCTTGAATAAATCACTTTCTCGTAGTAGCGACGATACATGTTATCACCAATAAAGAGATGTGAAAATAAATGATCACACCACCTCTATTTATAGTAAAATTACACATTGCACATTGTCTTCAAATGAATTGGCTACAACATAAAAAAATTAACACACTGTCGTCAATTAAATTGACGACACCATATAGTGTCATTGAAGACATCTCTTTACCATACAAGGGAGTCACCAATTCATCTGACGTCTGCACTCTATCAATACTCTAAAATGGGATACTTTAAAAAATAATTTGAAAAGTGATTTATTTTTGAATTAAAAAAAATAGAATATTTGAATAAAAAATTCACAAAACATCACTATAAAAATTTTAAAAAATAAATCTTTTTGTTAGAATACTATAACAAAGAAATTAAAATAAATAAATATATTATATTGAAGATTGAGAAAATCATAAATTTCACTCAAAATTAAATAAATTAAATAATAAAAAAATAAAATACCATAATTATAGTGTGTGTACCTGGGACAGATACGTACCCAATATTATTCGTCATTTTTAAAAATATCCTTATTTCAAAGCATAGACTTAAACTTTACAAAATATATTTTAGAAATATCAAGTAATTTGCAAATAAAATACAACCTTTCACAATTTAAATCCATGTGATTATATAAATTTATGCGTTTTTCTATATCTTCTTGAATATTCAAAGATTACCTTATACTATCTCACGTGTTAATCACATTAGAGAGAGTGAGCATCGCTTTCAGCGCACGAAAACGAAAATGAAATTTATGATAGCTTTTTATTTTGTTTTTGACAAATTACCTTATTGAATTGATTTAACTCTCACACATCCTAATTTTTAGCTCAGTGGATAAAATCAAATGAATTAAGCAAATTAACAACGCTTTATCTCTCTTTATTAAACGAATCTTCCATTCTCCAAAATGGCTCGCACTCTGTTCCACATTGGAATTTCAATGCTATATAATATTACCGTGCCGGTGACTCTACTCTAATCAAGCTACATTGATCCGAGTCCCAAACTCACACAAATCACACGCTTCCCATTCCGTTCAAAAACTGTTATTCCCTCCGTAACAGATCCAAAAAGTAGTCACATCATCGCCGACAACAACTCTCCGGTAAGCGATCTACCGTCCTTTCATTTTCCGTTTCCGGTAAGAATAACGCGAACACGCTTCTGCATTGTGTACAAATTAATTCAATTATTGCTCGTGTTCGTTGACGAATCACTTAATCTGTATCAATGAAACTCGATTTTCAGATCTCTTGTTGAAATTGATACCAATGCTGATGTTTTAGCACTGTTTTGATTTGAGTCGAGTTGATTCATGAGATAGTGATTTTGTTTCAATATTAATTAGCTTAATAGCTTATGCTGTAGAAGTTATTTAAGGTGTTCTTTTGGTATCAATTTCATCACAGTTTTCGTTTAGTAATATTATCACCAATGTTCTCTGCTGTTTGTTTGGATAAACAACTTAAACGAACTTTGTACTCTTTTGGCTTTATTTAGTTAATTTATTGTTAGCTACTTATGCACTGTTTGGATAAACAACTTAAAACACTTATAACACAAGTGTTTATGGATAAGTTATTTCTTTAACATTATAAAATTTAGTTGTTGTTTTTTTATATGCGTTAAGCTGCTGTTTTCGTAAGTTATCATTGAATGCTTATGGAAATAAGCTCAAAATAGTTTGTGGATATTCATAAATATACGCTTTGAAATTGTCTTAAAAGTGCTTATGCCAATAGATAAATTTAAATAAGTCAATCCAAAGAGACTTTTAATTTTAAACTGCGTGTGTCTTAAATTGGTTTTCTATTTTACAGAACTGCATTTGAGTGACTCATTGATGGAACCGACATCCGTTGCCACTCCTCCAGCTTCGAACACTGAGAATTACTCGGCCAAAGTATCAGCTGAAAATGGCAATGCACATGATTCACCATCCTGGTCACCAGCTTCTGGTATATCTTCCTGGGCAAGAAATCTGAGGCTTGGGGCAGCAGATCAGAACTCACAGACTGAGAACAATGGCATGTCGGTATTTGCTCGCTTGACTAGTGGGATTGGACGACGAGTTCCTTCAAATGAGACTGCTACGGTCAATTCAGGATCCGATCAAAGTAATTTAATTGAATCATTCACCAAAGGGTTGATGGACTCTTCGAAGAATGCAGTAAAAGCGGTGCAGACCAAAGCACGCCATATTGTCTCTCAAAATAAACGCAGATACCAGGTCAGTTGACTATGAGAATTTTACAGTTGCTTCAGTTTTGCCTATATTACTGACATACCATGGGTTAAATTGGTTAACGGATTAATGCTATCTTGTCCAAATCTACTGCACGGGTTACTTGCAGTTGTTAGAACCGCATTCTCTGTTTGGTTTTCTATGCTTACTTTTGGCTCTAAGGAGTTGAGTTATACATTGGATCCTTGTATTTAAGTACTTTTCTGTTAAATTCCATATATTGTGTTATGATCACGTCATCATTTGTATTGCAGCAACTTAAGTTTAAAATTGGTCATATGAATAAGTATAACCCCTGATTGATGTTATCTATTCTGCGATCTGTGCTATTCCATGTTAAATTGTTTTGTTAAATATTTCATGCGTTATCATTTGTCACTCTTTTTTATCAAAACAATTCTTATGGCTTCATTATTTTTCTACTCGGAGTACTTATTGTAGTGCTTTTTTCTAAAAAAACAAAAAGATGGAGAAACATAATTCATTCATTAATAGTTCTTTCTAGAAAAATTTTGGTAACGTTTCTTCTGCTTGGCATGCTTCTTGAATACTATAATAAAATACACAAAAGGATCAGCTAGTTGATGGGTATTCTGCAAGTGATATACCTAATAGTTAAAAGCTATATCCACATGCATACTCTTGGTTCTTTATGTTCTGTTAAAAATGGTAATACCTATAAATGTTCCTCAACATGTATATTGTCAAATTAAATGTGCTAGATTTTAATCTCAACATCACTAGAATTACATATTGCCATGTTGTTGCTCAACAATCAAATAGTTCACACAATGTACCAACACTTCAGGCGCACTCATTTTTCTAATGCATGTATGGCTATGAAATGTGCTCAAGAAATCATCTCATATGGAAGTTTTGAAACTTGGTATTAAGTACAAACTAGATCTGTAAAAATTGTGTATAGGAACATCTGCTCGAAGTATTTTGACAAGTGCCTAGAAATATTTATAAAAGAATTTCCTAGAATCTTAGATTTATTACCTCCTACAAAAGAATTGATCAGTCCTCAAACATTCTTAGTAAGACAAAAATGTTGTTACCCCCATCATGTTAACAGCATCTGCACTGAAGAGTCATTCTTTTGACTTCAACTATTGAAGAATCAAATTGGTGTTGATTTCTTTGGTACTGAATCACATTGTTTATGTATTTGATACTCTCAGTTACAAACTAACATAATTCTATTGAATCTATTGCATTTTGAATGGAACAATTCTAAGTTTTGTGAAGAATTAACTCATCTTCCCTATTGATTTCAGTTTTCTCTTGCTTTCAAAATTTCGACTCTTTGTAACAGGAAGGTGGGTTTGATTTGGATATGACATACATCACTGACAATATAATAGCTATGGGATTTCCTGGTGGTGATTTTAGCTCTGGAATTTTTGGGTACATTGAGGTATATTTATAGACAGTCAGTCTTGTCTCACATATTCAAACCAGATTCAGTATTGAGTCAATTTGTTTTAAGGGTGAAGTGTGTTGCAGGGGTTCTATCGAAATCACATGGAAGAAGTAATCAAGTTTTTTGAAACTCATCATAAGGTAACATGGTATCTATTTCAAATTTGGGATCCCATTATCTGCTCATTCAATAGTACTCGAGAAATCGGTAGAGAGTTGAATAGTCAAAGAAATCTATAGTGGAACCAAAGAGTACTTTTCTTCTAGTTAAACAACCTTGGAATTTAGAAGAAAATTTCTAATTAGTAAATTTGAACCAGCAGCCCATTACATCCCTTCGTATAGCATATAAACATATCCTCTTGCCTATCTAAAGTCAAATCAAAAGAAAGTGATTAGTAAAATATAAACAATACAGCTATAAAACCTGTGCTAACATCATTGTGAATAAGATTCATCTACAATAGCCCATACAGCGACCAAACGGTTAGTTATAATTGACCACTTTGACCTATTTCATTTACCCTACAACACTATGTTAGGTTGATCTTGAACTCTTCTGCTATGTTGGAAAATATAATTTGAGTATTTGAAGATCTTGAAATTTTCTCAAGTTTGAGCAACTTGCATTCACTCTGCTTGTACCATTATGTGGTTTTCTACTGCAATTAAACTGCCAGAATCTTTATGTGCTGAGAGCTGACAACTTATATTTTGTCTTTTGACAATTTTAGTCTCTTGAAACCTTAATGTGCAGGGAAAATACAAAGTATACAATCTTTGTTCAGAGAGGTTGTACGATGGGTCGCTTTTCCAAGGGAAGGTATTGTTTCTTTATATTTTCACGTTGGCATTCTAATTGGTATACCAAGAAGACATATAGTAATCTTGATGGTCACCCATCATTTGCCTCTAATCGGAACCTAGTCTCATTATCTTCCACTCTCTAGTAATTTGAATATCGCCGTCTGTCAATTTTTCCGTTGATTTTGGACATGTTATGTTCTTTTTGCATGCAGAGTTATGAATCTACTGATTTGTGAATTTTCCACCAGTTTTGAGTTGTAATGCTATGTTTTTGTTTTCTGGTCTTGTCTCTAGATCCGTATTAGTTCAAGATTTCTTTATTATTGTTTACTTTATTAATAAGTTATAATTAGACTATTTCCTATCATACTGTAAAAAGTATTTATTTGTACTATATGGGATGATAGAGTTTCTAGATCCTAACTTATTAAACAGTAAGTTATTAAATATTTGACATATGTAGATCCTTATTTTTTGTATAAGGTATGCTCTTACAACTCTCGGGTTTGATAGCTTTTAACAATAAATTTATTAATGAATAAGTTAATAAATAAAACAAAAATTTAATTATACACAACATTTCCTGGTTTTAATCATGAAATTAATAAGTTAATAAATCTATTGATAAATATTACAAGACTGAGATATCTGAAGGTATAGAGTATCTTTATTTTATACTTAATTTTTTAGTTGCAGATTTGTTTTAAAAAACATCAGATGAAAGAGATAAAAATTGGATATAAAATTACAGACTATAATATTCTTTTATTTCTGTTTGGTTTTGTAAAGGAATGGGCCACTAATTTCTTTTTTACTATTTTGTTGTAATATTTATGTCTGCCATATTGATTTCTTGGGATTTTTTCCAGGTTGCAAGCTTCCCTTTTAGTGATCATAATTGCCCTCCTATTCAACTTATAGCATCATTTTGTCAAAGTGCATATTCATGGTTGAAGGAGGATATCCAGAATGTAGTAGTTGTTCATTGTAAAGCAGGTATGGGAAGGACAGGATTGATGATTTGCAGTCTTCTTTTGTTGCTTAAGGTAAGTTGTGAGAATTGACTTCAGAGACTTGAGGATCTTAGTTGATCTGCACCTTTTTCTCAATGATTTGTGCAAATTTGGAAGTAAATTGCTCTGGGAACTATTTTGCAGTTCTTCCCCACTGCTGAGGAAGCCATTGATTGCTTTAACCAGAAAAGATGTATAGATGGAAAAGCTCTAACTCTCCCAAGTCAGATTGTCAGTAATTTCTTTTACTTTTATTGTATAGTTGTATCATGGAGATATAATCTAGTCATGTTCTTCGAAAATAATTTATTTCGTAATTTTTTAGAGATATGTCAAATACTTTGAACGGACTTTAACACACTTCAATGGAGAAGTCCAGCCTGGGCGAAGGTAAGATGAAACTGTCACAATGTACCAAATCCAAAGAAGATTCTTCTTAATTGGGACTTCCACAGGTGTATGCTAAGAGGGTTTCGGCTTCACAAATGCCCTTATTGGGTTAGACCATCCCTTACGATTTCTGATCATAATGGTAAGTAGTCTAGTTTTGACTGTACTGTACCAAATGAAACTTGTCAAGTTGTCCATGAACATTTTAATCTATATAAGGCTGATGCTTCACTTATTCTCAGGAATTCTTTTCACAACGAAAAAGCATCCCAAGACAAAGGATCTAATGGTACACACATGCCATTTTTTATGCCTTCATTTGATGAATTTTGATTTTCTCCTAAAACTCCAATGCTAATCCATGGCTTTGAGTTTGATTATAACTTACTTTTTTAACTCATTTGCAGCCAGAAGATTTCTGGATCAATGCACCAAAGAAAGGAATTGTGGTCTTTGCTTTACCTGGGGAGCCTGGTGTGACAGAATTGGTTGGGGACTTCAAAATTCATTTTCATGATCGACAGGGAGATTTTTTCTGGTTTGTTCAAAACAGCTATTTCTTCTATCTTTTTCCTCTTCAAACTAGTTTTGAAAGAAACTTGAATTTTTCAGAATCATTATGATTATACTTTATACCATTATATCAATTTATTTGTATAAATTCTTTATTATTGAGCATACTACTTACTTCCCTTTATAATTTTGATATGGAGTCCAAAGTTTTTTCATACAACAACCAAGCACTCTCTCATTAAGCGAGGGTTGGCTACATGGATCAAACGAAGCCAAAATTTTGTTGTAATGATGGAAAATTTGTTTCCAATTCTTCTATAATTCCAGATTTTTTCTCTTCCAAGCTGTGTAATGTATGAAACAGAGTCTGTTTAACAAAGATTAACAGTGTTTCTAATGCGTCAGTTTCTCCTTGGCAGTTGGATGAATACAACAATGATAGAGAACAGAAAAATTTTAGATGGCTCAGATCTTGATGATTTTGACAAGGTAAACAATACTTTTACTTTTTTTTTCAAATGTTATTTTGTGTGCAGTATGTAACACTTGCCAATCGATTGATTCTCTGAACTTGTTCACAATTTAAACTTTATGACTGTTCCCTTCAGAGAAAAATCCCTTCTCCAGGGTTCCAGGTCGAAATTGTGATGGTAGACTATAATGGCACTCTACCTGGAAAAGTCAAATCTGCGAGCAAAGGATCTGATAGCAACAAAAACAATGTCTTATCCGGTAGAAAGCCTACATCTAATACAATTGAAACTAAGGGACCTACAAACAGAGATGATGATGTTTTCTCTGATAGCGACGAAGAGGAGACCAAGGGAAAACAAAAGAGAGAAGCTGCAACTGGGCATGTAGAGATGTTGGCACACTCAACGAATCAGTTGTCACTTCAGCATGCGGAACTTACAGAAAACAATGATTCTAAAGAATCAACTAAAGATAAACTTCATAAAACTCATGCAGGCCCTAACACCTCCAATATGGAATCTACAGGGGCAAGTGAAATCAAGGCAATTGCAGCAGATGCTTCTGTTTTTTCTTTTGGAGATGAAGATTTTGAGAGTGATTCAGAGGAGGCTGGTTGAACTCTAATTCAACTTTGTTACTATTCAGGAATTCATGTATAGCTCTTTCCATAGAGATCATACCCACATGTAAAAGGATCAGGCACATTATGTAACTCATTGCATTTACCCCTTCATGTTTTCAAATAACCCTTTCATGTATCTTATCATTTAAATTTTGTATATTTTAAAGGTTACACTTTCATAATTCTTCCAGAGTCCATTTGATTTTCCTCTGTCCTTGAGGTACTTAGGACTATTATAACAACCTTATGTTTGAAATTCTAATATAGTGCCAAGGTACATCATTTCATGTCTTCAGGTTCATTTATCATTTTTGGTAATATACAAAAGATCACATTACACGGACTTTGATATTTTATGCAAGTACAATCTAAACTAGAGGTGGCAATGAAATCCATTTAGATAATATCCATCTAATCCATCCAATAATTTATCCATCCAATCCATCCATAAGATAAAAAATAATTTAATGGATTTGATCCAATCCATCCACTAACTCATATGGATGGATTCAATCCATCCATCTCATTTTATAAATTCATTGGATATTATGTTGTCACTTATTAAATTAAGAATTTTAAATTAATTTTTTGGATGGATGAATATCATCCATTAGAAATATGTTAATGGATGGATTGGATGAATTTTATCTTTTAATGGATGAATTGGATTGTATTTTTATTAAGAGAGTTTAGTGGATTGTTAATGGATTAATGAATTGTTTTGATCCATCCATTAACAATCCATATCCATCCAATTCATCCATTTTGCCACTCCTAATCTAAACCACTGGGTTTCTTTCTATGGAGTTAAATTGTTGTTTCAAAATCTGTGCTAGTGTTCCCCGGAATTGCTCCAGTTAAGCTTATTTAAAGTGTGTTTGCTCCAGTTTAGCTTTATTTAAAGTGTGTTTGCTTACCTGATGAGGTCAAGCAAACATTGGGCGAGTGAGAAGCTATTAGTTGTAGCTTTTGGTTTGACGTGAGTATACATTGTGGAAACTAATGTTTCTAAACAACCTTTTTTTTTTAAAATCATTCTAAAACCAATATTATAAAAGGCCATGTATCTTTTTATATCTTTGTTTAATAATGTTTACCGATCCTCTCAGTCTAATAATACTATACAATGTACCGATACCTACAAAGAATAGTTAATTGACTTTAAATGTAGATAGATTAGTTAGCTTTTGCATATATAGCACTCCTCACGCAAGTAATACTTACATGCCCTGAAAGTTTAGAAAGCATACATAGTGGTTGATAAATATCATACTCCTCAGGAGTGTAATTTTTACATGCTGTGAACTTTTAGAAAGTGCAGAGTAATTGGTATTACAGTTGGCTCATAGTTCATCAGATTAACCAAAGGTAACACTCAAGTTTATGCCAATATATATATAACCAAACAAGATGTCATAAAAATTAAGGCCTTCATATGATAACTTGATTCATCTTATCTTGTTAGATATGTTACTTGATAACCAATCAAGCCCTTCATATAGTCCTTGGCCAGAAGTTGCACAAGTTGACTGGATGTACCTGAACCAATCAAAAACTATAGTAAGTTCATAATATAGGAATTAACACTGCGAACTTAAATTTGGATTATGATTTAATTCAAACTTTGAATAATATTAGCATACATTATTGTTTTAACAAACTAGATAACGTTATCTTATCTTCCCATTACAACTTTCTGTTATTCTGTTATGGTAAGATTGAGTTAGTTAGGTTATACTGTTATAGTTTGTTAGACTTTGGGCTATGCTATATATAGCCTCATTCTCTACTTTGTATTACTGTGATAAATATATCATTTTAGTAATAATTCTCAGAGTTATCTTCAACCTTTCTCATTGTTCTTTAAAGTTTGTCATGGCCTCCGGCAGTGAATCCTTCGTTATCACGTCATCTTCTCCGTATTATCTAAACCCCTTAGATGATCGCAGAACTACATTGTCGGATGATCTTCTCACCAAAAAAAACTATTGGAAGTGGTGGAAGTCGGCCAAACTCGCACTGTGTGCAAAAAACAAGCTGGGTTTTGTGGATGGAACCATCAAGAAACCGTTGGAATCATCTCCGGAATTCCATGCCTGGGAGAAAGCCGACACCATGGTCTATGCATGGATCGTCAACTCAATAGATCCTTCACTGCATGACATCATATCTCATGTGCCTACGGCAAGAGATCTTTGGAAAAGTTTGCAGCAAAGGTTCTATAAAGGCGATCAACCACGAGTTCGCGAGTTATACGAAAGTCTGCGTTTCGTTACGCAAGAACCCAACATGCCCCTGAATGATTACTATCACAATTACTCGAGTATGATGGAGGAGCTCGCTGAACAACTACCGCCGCTTGAGTGTATAGGTGAGGATAAGAAGAATTTTCGGCTGTTCCAAGAAGACCTTTTGACTAGAAAATTCGTTCTTGGTCTTGATGATCGCTTTTCCCACATGACAGTATCCCTTCTTAACTCTAATCCTATGCCACCTTTGAGGATAGTTTTTGATCGCGTATTAAGCGAGGACGCAAGACTCACCCTGGCAGAAATGCAAGAAAAAAACAAGCCTGTAGACGGAGACAATTCTTCTGGTAATCACATCAAATGACTCCATTATATTCGATCTTGATAGATGTTCACAGTCATGTGCAACCATTACGCGTTTCCTTGTCGACAGGGAACACTGTCATGGTTCTCAAGACTGGGACAATCCGATCATTTTAAAATCTCATTTGTGGCTTACTTATTTCTGTTGACGGCTGTGTTATACAGGACCTAACAACGAAGAGGACAATCTGATCCAGTGATTTGCTCGAGGGGGGTCGAAGCAAATTGTTTCTCATCCACAGCTGTTTCAGAAGATTTGAATGCTATTTGGCAAGCTAGGATGTGACATATACTTCTAATCAAAATTTGCCTATTGTTCTTAGTATAAGCTAGAATGTTTTCTTGATACTAAGCTAGGATGTTTTAATAATAATAAAGCAGTTTTTCTGAAAATTTGATTCATTGTGATCAATGGAAAAAATGCTATATGTCATATATAATTTGAATTATAATTCTCAAGTTATCTTCAACCTTTCGCATTGTTCTTTGAAGTTTATCTAATACAGATTAACGTGACTTACCAACGGCGCTGACGGAGTGAATGTAAGCCAAGTTTATCAGTAATTTCTGCAACACTCAAAGCATTTGGAAGGTCTTGCTTATTGGCAAATACAAGTAAAGTGGCATCGCGAAGTTCATCCTGCAACGTAAATTTTTATTAATACGAAACGATTGCAACAATTTTTTGCTTTTCTATTGCAAGTAAAAGCTAGTAGTATTTAACTTTCAACTGCGAAAAGTTGTATACATATTGAAGATACCATATTACAGATAAAAGCTACTGACCTCACTCAGCATTCTATGAAGCTCATCTCTGGTTTCTAAGATTCTTTCTCTATCATTACTATCTACAACAAAGATAAGACCTTGTGTATTCTGAAAGTAGTGCCTCCACAACGGTCGAATCTACACGGAATTTGCCATATAAACATGTATTTATGGTTTGCAAATTGATCATAGAAGCTAGAAAATTACGACTAGTACCTTGTCTTGTCCTCCAACATCCCAAACAGTGAAGCTAACATTTTTATACTCAACAGTCTCTACATTGAAACCTGGTTCATCAGGAGACAATAATTTATGTCAACTTTCAATTATTTTTCGCTTAGAATTCTCATAGTAAAAAGAAAGTAAAAAAATTCAACGCGACTATTTGGAACCTATGGTTGGTATGGTAGTGACAATTTCTCCAAGCTTCAGTTTGTAGAGTATTGTGGTTTTTCCAGCTGCATCAAGACCCACCATCAAAATCCTCATTTCTTTCTTTGCATAGAATAATCTCATTATTCGCGATACCGTCAAACCCATTTTTTTGCCTTTTGTTCAAGCAAAATTTAACCAAAAAAACCTAAAAGTATAAAACTTGAAATTTTTCTGAGATCAATCTCTTGTTGAAGAGTTTGGAGTTATAACTTATGTTAAAATTTAATGAGTTGTTTGTATATTATATGAAAATGAGACCAGAAAATTGCATCAAGCATCAATTCTCCAATATAAAAAGCTAGAATATGATTCTGATGATAAAGGATAGTGTGGTATTTTAATATCTTTGTTTAGCTTAAGATTGAGGCCATTTATGATTCTTATGATTGAGATTAATATGCAATTTGGGTAGCGTCTAAGTTAAGCATTTAATAAAACAACATTAACAAATAATTATATTATGGAATCAATTGATACAAAAACACATCATTGACACTATGTTCATGTCAATCTCAAATTGTACAAGAATGGACAAAACACGTTATCAAATATTCAAACCTATAATGACCTTTGCATATGAAATTGGTAATTATAGTTTACATTATTTTTTAGAAATTGCATCCTTGGCAGATTGTAGAGTGGACGCCACGGCATCAGCAGCACTTGTAAGAACACCACCGCTGGTTTTGGAATGGGGTTCATGAATGACCTGCACTTTCCTCTCTTCTTGTCCATGCCCGGCCGAAGATTGATGATCGACCGTTTCCACCTTTTTTTCGATGGAACTTTGTACATTCACAGTATTCTGACAGAAAAATTCATACAGATTTATTAACCATAAAACACAAAATATACGCAAATGGTGAGTTTTTGATCATACTACCTTATTAGCTTGTTGATTCATTTTGACCCACAAAAATGCTTCCCTTGTAATCGAGTTAAGACCTTTTATCTTAATGCTTCCCAAAAGTTGAATGTTTTTATGGATACAAAGTTTGTTGCCAAATCAAAGAAATAAGTGGAGGAGGAAGAGGGAAATTAATAGCATGTCACCATATCACATGCTTTACCATCCGATTATTGGGGGTAAACCAATGGTGCAAAGTTGTATGACCAACACAAATAATGAAAATAGTGCCAAAATCAAACATAAGCACAAAATAGTTGAGCCAACTAAAAATCTGCAAGGTTTAATGACCCATATGACATAGCTATATTTCTGGATCAAAAAGCATACATACACTCATGACATATAATCTTTGTAGGACGCCTAATTATTACAAAAAGCAATTGTAACCTAAAACAGAATCAACATATAATCTTTGTAGGACACCATAACCATAGTTTTCTTCCTCCTTCAATTTTTCCTTCAGGTCATGCTAGAGGTGACCCTTCATAGTGAACATTTGAAATATCAGAAAGCCTCCGCCTAGGAGACAAATTAGTGACACCAGCAGCATCACATTCAGGATTGTTGATATTCTTTCTCTTAGAACTGCTCTTCTCTTCAGAAACCTCAGCAATGGGACTCAATGTCTTTGCTTCCTGTAGGCCAGCAGCGAGTATAGCTTGAGCTTCTGCCAACTCAGATCCATTGTCATCAGTAGCATACAATATCTTCAGAATTGCTTCGAAAACCTGAATCATACATAAAATTCACATTTCAACAATTACCCATCAAATGTTTCAAACTTCATTATTACTCAAAAGGAGAGTTTAAAATTAAATTACCGGCGAGTTTTCTACTCCAGGAGTCTGACCAAGAATCTCAATGTCCCTCAACTTCGCAAAGTAAAAATCACGTTCCTTCTCAAGGCTATCAATGGATAACTTCAATTCTGTTATCTGTATCAACTGATATATTAAATACGCACTCATGATAATTCACAATTCACTTGACGTAATATTTTAAGATGACAAAAACAGTACCTGTTGCACCTGTTGGTCATAAGCAGGGTTTACAGCAGCAGCAGGGGCAGAAGGCCTTGAGGCCCTTACAGCCCCATGACTTGCAGAGTGGTTAACAGTAGACACATCATTTCTTCGAGCATGGGAAGATTGAGGCCTGTGTGCAGCGGTAGAACCACCCTTAGTTGACGGTTGAGAGTGTGCAGATCTTTTACTCACTTCTCTGCCTCCTTTGCATACCTCTCTCCTCTCAAAAGGATTATAACTGAAAGTGAACCACATATAACCCATGCCATTAAAAAAACATTCAGCAAACTCAAATTTTTGAACTAATCAAGCTTAAAACCTCAAATCCAATTAATATAAAATGAAAGAAGACATATCATCAAACTAAAATCCTCCATTTGTAATTTGAATTCCAATACATATCATCAGCAGAAGTACAGAATTCCAATCATAAAACCCTAACATTTAATACTTGAATTTGAAACGTGAACCACATATAACCCATGCCATTAACAAAACATTCAGCAACCTCAATTTTGAACTAATCAAGCTTAAAACCAAAAATCCAATTAATCTAATTACTACCAACACAAAAACAAGACTTCAAAAAATTTGAGTTTGAAAATGAAAGACAAAAAATTTGAGTTTGAAAATGAAAGACAAAAAATTTGAGTTTGAAAATGAAAGACACCCTACTAACAAGACAACAAACTTAAATCCTCCTTTGGTAATTTGAATTCTGATCACATATCATAAGCAGAATTACAGAATTCCAATCACAAAACCCTAACTATTAAAACTTGAATTTGAAATCAAAGCATGCATGTCAGTAAAATTACATAATTACAGAATTCCAATCATAAAGCCCTAACTATTATTAAGCCTTGAATTTGAAATCAAAGCACGCGTGTCAGTAAAATTACAGAATTCCAATAATAAACCCTAATTATCAATTAAGAACACGATACCAAACTCTTAAACCTATGAACAAAATAAAAATAGAGTAAAGATTAAATTACCTGTCCTGTCCAGAATTGACAGAATCGCAGTATCTTTTCATCCATTGCATGAACTCCAGATTATCCAACGGTCTTCCTTTCACTAGCTTGCTAACCTCAATGTGCTGAGAAAAATAAAATCAATCGAAGATTATAAGATCTAAGAAAAAAACGAAAATCAGAGAAGTAACTGTAACTCAAGAGATCGAAAGATCAAATTTACCTTAGTGATTTTGAGTTTGTTGAAAACATCTTGAAGAACCTTGTAGTTCTGAATCATCTCATACTCACTCTTGGCATCAAAATTGACCTTATGCATCGGAACAATTCCAGGATGAGCGGCATCAAGAAGCTGACAGTGAACAGCACCAGAACAAGCCTAACAAAAATGAAACAATTCAACCAAAATAGATCTATCCAATAAGTAACCGTAAATCAAAAAACCTAAAACAGAATCAACAAAAATCGAAGAAAGAAAAATCAGATCGAACTTCGAACCTCTTCGACTTTGGAGAGATTTAGTTGAAGAAGTGAATTGATCCAAGAGAGGATCTCAGATCTACCGACGAAGTACGCCGCGTCCATGATTCCGATATTGGTAGCCATTTTCTTCTTCTCTGTTTCACTCGTTTTTTTCCGTTCTGTTTTCTTCTTCTTTTTTTTCTAACGTCTCTCTCTTTTGAACTAACGGCTCTCTCTAATGTTGTGAAAGAGTTCAAATATATAGAGGCGGAGCGGGAATTTTATGAATTTAAAAATTCATTTTGTAGAGTTTAGTGGAAACTTGTTGTAGTGAAATGTTGTAACGTTAAGGGAACGTTGGGATTACTTTTGGGCTTGGGCTTTTCTATAGAGACGGGCTTAAGGAGTGGGCTTCTCTTCTAGAAAACGTAACGGACTGTGATGTTATTTGGAAGATTTTACCCCATACCCCGGCACTTATACCCATACCCCTACAATTTTAAAAAATACCAATTTTATCCTTATATATTTTTGTATTATATTATTTTTTTTTCACTTTTTACCGTGTCAGATTTTTTAGACTTCCGAGGAATTAACACACGAACCTACCAGAACACTTCTAAAATGACTTACGGTACGTTTTTTTTTCTCAAACTGGAAGACTTTAACAAAGAGTTCTGGTTTATATAAATTATGTACCGAAAGACTTTATGAAAGACTTCCGGTTTGTGTTTTTTCGTGGGTGTTCACCGGAACACTTTTCTTGAGAGTTCCGGTACTTGTAAAAAGTGTATCGGAACACTTTTTACAAGTCTTCCGGTTTGTTTATTATGGATACCGAAACTCTTTTCCTGAGTCTTCCGGTATGCATTGTCCAATTTTTTTTTTAAAAAAAAATTTTAAAATTTTTTTTTATGCAGGTTCAGAAATTCCTTTACAAATATGCGATAAAGATCAGATATGCGTAGATACGTCTGATGTTTTTTCAACTACTCAAAGATTTGGTACACGAGAAGAGGTAATAAGATGGATTAAAGAGATCGTAATCCAAAATAAAGTAACGGTTATCATCACTCGTTCAGATATTGAAACAGGCAAGACAGGAAGAAGTAACAAATTAATATTTAGATGTGATAAAGGAGGAAAACACAAAGATATTGATAGTGGAACCCAGAGTGCGACAGAAAAATGTGGATGTCCATTTAGAATCAGATCAACTCCAGCGACTGATGGATCTGGATGGAATATTGATTTAAAATGTGGAGTTCATAACCATGGTTTACCTGATATATTAGAAGGTCACGCATTTGTTGGTAGGTTGACAGCGGATCAGAAGCAACATGTTGTTGATTTGACAAAGAGAAAGGTTCCACCTAGACATATATTGCTTTCATTGCAAGAGCAAGATCCAGATAATGTCACTTGGATCACGCAAATATAAAAGTAGAAGAGTATGATAGAAAAAAATATAAGAGGTCCTAGAAGTGAGATACAACATTTGTTTAAGCTTATTGAGGATGCAGGTTATGTTTATTGGAGTAGAAAAAGAGATGACTCTGAAGTTATTAGAGATATATTTTGGGTTCATCCAGATTCAGTTAAGTTGTTGAATATTTTTCCTATTGTGTTAGTTATGGACAACACTTACAAGACAAACAAATATAGGCAACCTCTGTTTGAAATTGTTGGCATGACATCAACCGAGTTGACTTTTGTTATCACATTTGCGTATATTTAGTCTGAGTAGACTGAGACTTTTTGTTGGGTGCTAGATAAGCTTAAACAATTGTTTGTGAAGAAAGAGGTGTGTCCACAAGTGGTTTTGACAGATATAGATCTTGCTTTGATGAAAGCCATTGAAATTGTGTTTCCAAGGTCGATCAATTTGCTATGTCGATTTCATATTAACAAGAATGTTGGTGCAAAACGGAAATAATATGTGGCTAGTGACATGCAAAAGAAAATTGACGAATTATGAACGGATGTTGTATGGGCTAGTGATGAGGTTGAGTATGATCAAATGTTGAACCAACTTGAGCAGGCGTGTGTTGAATGTAATGAATTTATTGATTATGTGAAGGATACATGGTTGACACCACATAGACAAAGATTTGTTGGAGCATGGATTAATCGAGTGCTACATTTGGGTAACACCAGACTAATCGGTATGTATTTATTTTTAGTTTTTTTTTGAATTTTTTAAAAATAGTTTTAATATGTATTAATTTTAGGGTTGAGTCTACTCATTGGAAGTTAAAGCAAATGTTGGGGAACAGTATTGGTGACATGGTAAAATGTTGGGAGGCTATGAATGACAACTTAAAGTTACAATTGGGCAATATTAGAGCTTCTTTTCAAAAGAGTTTTTATGAAGTTGAGCACGCCCACGTAAGTCCATTTTACAATAATTTACGTGGTTCAGTGTCTCGAGATGCATTGAGACGCATTGCTGAAGAGTTAAAGCGAGTTGATTATGTTGGAACTAACAAGGAAATATGTCGTTGTACTCTTAGAACAACCTACGAATTACCTTGTGCTTGTGAGTTGACAGGATATAAAATTGATGGTATACCGATACCAATAGATGCTGTGCATGTTCATTGGAGAAAACTAAGTATGGAAGTTAAGTTGGACGAAGACGTAGATGATGGATCAGAGGTGGATATGATTAGTGCAATAGATGAGTTATGGAAAAGGTTTAAGTCACTGGATGTTGTTGGGAAAAGGGCATTAAAAAGTAGGGTTTTTGAACTTGCCTTCCCCACAATGACTTATATGTGTCCACCACCTGAGAAAATAAAAACTAAAGGGGGAGTCAAGAAAAAAGATAAAAAAACCAGTAGGGTATGATGTTTATAGAGACCCTTCGTATCACGAGTATGTTGATCAAGCATCTCAATATTCACAGAGGCAATCTCAACCATCACAAACTTCGAAAAATTTGAAATTATCACAGTCTTCACAAAAGAAATCTCAACCATCACAGGCTTCGAAGAAGTTGAAATTATCACAATCTTTATAGGCATCTAAGTAGTTCATCCTTCAGTTTCCGAATCACATCAGGTCATATATTGATGATGTAGTTAATGTTGTATCAGATGGTAATTGTGGATTTAGAGTCATTACTTCATTGCATGGATATGGTGAAGATGGTTGGCCAATGGTTTGTCGAGACTTCGGGTTGGAAATAATACATAATAAAAGATCATGTTTGTATGCCAATTTATTTACTGATCAATTAGCAGTAGTGAGAGAATCTTTGATGATAGAGGAATTTGGTCCTCAACCACCACATAAATGGTTAACTCTACCAGATATGGGTTACGTGATAGCGAATCATTATAATGTTGTACTTGTCTGTTTAGGAATTGAATGTTGGACTTTCTTCCCTACTACAACTTCATTTTCACCAAATGTATCAATTTACTGCATTGGTTTTGTAAACAGAAATCGTTTGGTTCAAGTACTTAGTTGTTTTTAGATAATGCGATTAAACCTAATTCTTTTTCGTTATTTTTACTTAATATTTTGATTATTTTTTTATATAGGTAAACATGAAAGAAGGGTTTCCATTGCCACAAGTGACAGTAGATTGGAAGAAGTTTCGTTCTCCAACAGCAACATCTTGGATGATAGGATTTGAAGGACGTCTACAACATTGGCAACAACTTACGCCTATATTACCAACGCATTATGAATTATAAATTATGTTACTCATTTTTAATTTCAAAACACGAATCGTGAATTATGTTACTCATTTTTAATTTCAAAACACGAATCGTGAATTATGTTACATTTTTAATTTCAAAACATGAATCGTGAATTATGTTACTCATTTTTAATTTCAAAACATGAATCATGAATTATGTTACTCATTTTTAATTTCAAAACATGAATCGTGAATTATGTTATTCATTTTTTATTTCAGGCTACAAGTTAACACAAAAACATAAACCAACTAGGTCAAATGAGTCTAAAAGTTAACACATAAACATAAACCAATTAGGTCAAATGAGTCTAAAGGTTAACATATAACCATAAATATAAATATAAGTCACTGTGATCGACCAAGATGTAAAGCTTCGAACAAATCAGCAAACTGTGGGCCATCCTCTTCAGCACCAGCCTGTTGAAGATAACAATGAATCAATGAAGACATACGAGCCATTATAGGATCAGATGGTCCTGCTTCATATACAGGAAATGGAATCTCTGTTGTCGCATCAACACTGGGTGGTACCAGATGAGGATGCGAAACACGATAATACCACTCAAGATACCCAACATATGTCTCATATGGGGTGGTGGCCGGTGTTGTTGGATGAATCACATCCTGAACGCTCTGGTGGTAACTAATCCAGTTAACATCAATATCACCAGCCATTCGAGAATCAAGAGGTGGATGTGAAACATACTGCCTGTATCCAAACTGACGCGTACATCTGTCAGACAAGTATGGAACAATAGTGTCACCCCACCTCAGACACCCCCTATAGAGACATAACTCATCAAACTAACGCCATACTTTATGATTCTCGAATGGGCACCATGTGACATCGACAGGTGTCAGCTCGTACAAAATAGGTCGCAAGTCATCCAACTTCAAGGCACCTTACCTATAGGACCATCTCATCGCTCCAGGGAGACCCACATTATTAGCTGGTATCCAGTTCTCTCCTCTTTTCCCAAGTGTTGGAAAATACTCATGAATCCAGCACTGTTACAAAATTAATATGGTTACTAAATTTAAAATAATTAATTATAACATAATAAACTAGATAAATAAAATTAATATACTAGATAAAATAAATTAAAACAAAATATACTAAATTAAAATAAATACCTGTAGGAGAGTCGGATAACCACCAAGCTGCTTACAACTGAACATGGAAGCATCTCCGAGATATCTATAAAGAGTAACCAACGCAGCTGCTCCCCAATTGTATCCTGATAAGCCATCCAAGTCTATAAACAGTGAGAGGTATCGTGCCTCGACAAGCGTAAACGTCTTATCCACGAAAATAGTGGAACCCACTAACATCAGCAAATAAGCTCTAGTGGCATAATCCCATCTAGATACAGCTATGTGCTCTACGAATCGATCATATAACCACTCCAACTTATAGTAGGAACCCCTGCAGTCA